TATTATACATTATATATGTATATAGATTATTACTATTTAGATACAAGTTCCTAAACTTATTTTTCTTAAAACATAGAACAGTAAATAAAAAAAGTAAAGCAAACAATTATCTCTTCTAGTTATGACCTTTGTAATCGGTTGCTGCTTGACATAGGCTGCTAAGCCTTTTAAAGATTTTGCACGTGGAGGATATGAAACAAAAGAAATTTTTTTAGGTTTTATGTATACATTTGAAATAACCAAAAAATCATAAATTACTGTCCCGATACCATAGTATTCCACTATAGTTTATCACGCTTAGTAACTAAGCTGTATTTCAGTCTAAAAAAATATGAAATTTTGAGCAGACTAAAGACTCAAAGTACCTCTTTGAAATCTTGTTTTGAAAGCACGAGATCATGTTGTAATACTTAAAAATGGCTGATAAAGCCACTAGAGGACATTCTGAGCTTTCAATTGGTTATTCACATGGTATATACAGAAGTAAGTGTATATAAAGGAGCGTTTCCAAAAATGGAAAGAGGTGAGTGGGGCCACTGTTTGATTCAGCACGTGAGCAATATCACAGCAAATAGAAAAGATAGGAGGCTCTTATTTTATATTCAAGCTTGTCAAAACTGATAATTTGAGTTCCTAATTCCTACAAAACTATAGACTATTTTGACATCCAATTTGAACCAGTGCTACATTCAACATACCACGTGACACACAAAAATCGATGTTTAAGTTTTTTTAATATTTACTTCTAGATTAAGAAATTTAATAATGTATAATACTAAGATTTTTGATTAATCTATAGTTTGATACCAAACCTCTTGACATAAATTCAGAAAAGAGTAGTTCAATAAAATTTTGAATGTGAGGCAACAAACGTGATGACATGGCCTTTGACCCGTATCCTGTCTGGAAAGGGTTAAGCATAATATACAGTGTATTTAGTTTTGTATGATAAAAGTCATAATTTAAAAAGCACATGGTGTGGTTTGTAAATTTTTTTGTTAAGGTCGAGGCTCCCATGGATAGTTAATTCATCACTAGTTTTTATGGTACGAGTGTATAAAAATAAAATGTATTGCATTTACCATTGCAGTGTAAATTACAATATAAATTTTTGTATAATTATGATTCTTATATTTTCTTTCTACTCAGTATGACCAGTACAAAACTCCAATGGAAAATATTGGCCTTCAAGACTCTTTGCTGTCTCGTTTTGATCTGCTTTTCATTATGCTTGATAAGGTAAAAACATCTGATTGTTTGTTTTGTGTGAAATGACAGTTTTGGTTCTCATTAATCCTTTTCAGTGGTATGTACATCATAGATGTAGAGTATCTTTTCCCAAATATTCACGGAACCATAAAGTATACTGCAAAAACATGTTTAACCCTTTGACTGTGGCTTCTTGAAGTGGGTGTAGAATGTTTGCAAGCTGTACACTCCATACAGCACACACTCATTCAACTGCCAGAGGCAGACCATACCCTATATGTTGGATCAACAGTCAATGGGTTAAAAAAAACTTTACAGTTAATTTGTTTACTCTGCTTTATGGTGATGTAAAATGTTAAGATTTTAATGGCTCCATTTCATGGCTTAGAATATTATGCCAAGTTTTGTAATTTTTGAACTTAGTTTTGTTTTACTCGAATAGATTGACATGATTTTGTCAGCATACACAGACACATATACTTACACATACCTACATATATTCACTTGTATGCATACATTCTTTTTTTTTTTTTTTAAGTTAGAGTGCTCTGCTTCTGCCATTTAGACTTGAAAATAAAACAATGTACAAAGCCTGTCTGATCTGGAAATTATTTTATTATTCAGGATGAAAAAGTATAAACAATAAATTTAATATTTGGTAAAAAAACTGTAAAAGAAAATGTTGTGTTATTTTACTCCAGATGGATCCTGAAAGTGACAGAGAAGTATCTGAACACGTCATTAGGATGCACCGCTATCGTAAGCCTGGTGAGCAAGATGGGGAAGGTTAGTATTTGTAATTTATAGAATAGCCTAATAAATCAATCAAATGTTTCAAGATACTTTAGTCATTATACTCCATAAAATTACTTCTATATTTCTAATACTTTATTGTTTTTATCATAAGTTACCTATGTGATAATATGCTTTGATTTTTAAGTGGTTTTACCATATATTTTCTAAATAATGCTGTTGAAACTTAAATGACAAATACACTGTTCAACACTATTATTCATTTCTGTTCTGTACAAAGAAGTCTTTGCTTATAAAGACTTAGCACTGGTTGAATATGAAATGAAAACCATATGAATATGTAGCAAAATAATTTAATTTCTAATAACTCTTCATATTTTTCTTAGCTGGTTATTAAGGTTCATCTATGTTTTAAATTAGTATTTCTGATATTTTTTGAACTTTTTATTTCTAGCTACTCACATTAAGAGCTCAGCAGATATTTTGTCAACAAATGATCCTGATGCTGAAGAAGAAGGTACTGATACACCAATGTATGAGAAGTTTGATCCTTTATTGCATGGAAATCGACGTAAAAGGTAAGCAACTCAAGTATATTGATTATAAAAATATTTGCCTAAATATGTTAATTATGTTTTTATAAGAGTTTAAAGTAAATCATGATGAATGTAAGTTAGAGTGAATAATTTCCAACGATGGTAGGCTGCACTGTTCCGAGCAATGACTTGTTAATAGATTATGTCAAGTTCGTATTTCTCAACACAGATGTTTTCCATTGTGAGCTGTTTAAGTAAATATGTAGTGTAGCCTAAAGCTTGTCCATTACTGTAAAGACAAATTTCATTATCCTGTACAAGTCTGTTCAGTGTGGAAACACACTTAAAATGCAGCTTGCCACAGAAAGTTCACTCACTATTTATGTGTTACAAAGATGTCTCTTTTCTTGAGAAAAGAAATCATCAGTGCATAATTATTTTTGTATGCAAAAAGGAAAACAAAAGGTTGTTTTGAAGGTAAGAATTCAAATTTACCAATTTACACAACTTTTCAATGATTTTGATTTTTTTAAATTAAATTGTTCTTCACTCTCAAGTATCTAGTAATTGAATGTGATAAAAGAACAACAACCACTTAAAACTTTACACCCAAAGCAAACTCACATTATCTAAAAAAATATGGATATTTTGAAAGTACAATTTTCAAGTGAGCAAGATGTTTGTTCTTGAAAACTTAACGCTTTAGTTAATAAATTGTCTGAGTTTAAAAAATAGCTTAAAAATTGCATTTTCTTTATATATACACACACACACAATACAAACATTTCATCTTACTTTACCATTTGGTTAGTGCAGAACCTAATGTGTGCTTTTTTATGTGCCAAGGAAAAATTTGCCTGATCTAGAATGTTTGCGGAGAAAGGCTAAGAAGTGTATCATTCTAAAAAAATATATACATCCTTATTTTTTAAAAAAAAGTGCTTAGGTCTCAACTTTTGTGAGTAATTAATTTACATCATTGTTACATGTTAAGGTATGCCAGTGATTTGCTTCAGAAATGACTGGGGAAAAAACGAATAGGATTATGAAAAATTAACATGATATATGACAAAGTTGGATATTCTAAACAAATAATAATGTCTTTTTCAGAATTATTGTGTTTGCTTTTTAATGCTGATGTGAGTGATATCTTTATGAGGAAACAAGTGAAAACTGTTATAGTGGTTCTCTCATTTGAATACTAAGCTTTAAAACATAACTTCAAGCAAGAAAATAAATAACCTCCAGTGTTAGAGAAAATTTTTGAAAGTAGTGTCCAAAACATTTTTCTACACTGGGGCAAAAGGATCAGATTTGTAGCTTTAATATAGCCTGTAATTATTTGAAAAGTTGAAACTGTAAACATACCAATGATGAGTATTCAAAACCACCAACTTAGGCTTAGCATACTAATACTGAAGGAAAAACTTTTTAACAATTCTAATAATTTGAAGAAAGATATTCAAATAGTAACTAGTACGTTTTCAATTTTTGATATTATACATAATTGAAAGGACATTTTTTAAAACTTTATTCTGATATAAAGTATTTTATTAATATTGTAATTTAAATAATCATATCATTAAATGTGGCTACAGTGTGCAATATTTTTATGTCAGGAAGGTTTTGAGTTACTGAAGGTAGAAATTTTAGCATGCCACTCGTTGTTGCATGTCAGTACCAATGAGGATTATTTATATAGTACCACAGCTTATCAGGTGAGCTGGGTTGCAGTATGTGAAATTATAAATGATGTAGTGTCACATCTATGATGTAATCATGCTCCACCAGTATAGGAATTACACAACCTAAGGCTCTGTCTTGTAAGTGATCATTGAAATAGCATTTAAAGTCTTAAAGAATTTGTAATCTGTCTGATGTGAAAATCTCTTGTATTCAGTAAAAGACTGTGTGCAGAAGTGTGCTAGATCATTATATAGTGGAAATGTTATAGGACTTTTATTGAGTTCAGTAAAGGATAACATTATTAAAATTGTCCGTAAGTGTCCTTAGTTCATTTTTGAGAAAAAGTACTACAAAGAATTATTTTATTATTTCAGTCAAAATTACTTAACTAGATTAGTTTCATTAAAGAGTTTTTCTTGAAGATTAAATATTTCAACTTTAAAAAAATCTGCTAGTTTCATGCAAAAAACTTTTTTTCTACAAATAATTACCTTGATTGTTTTTACTGGCAGGTTAAACTGTTGTTAGTTTAGTTTGTTTCCAGACTGTGTTATTTCAACCTTAGTGTGTTTGAGTTATTAATCAATATTAAACCATAACATTTATTAGTAGTTTTATTCAGTAAAAAGAAAACTTTAAACTTTGTGAAGTGTTTATTGTTTTTTGGATATATGAAATGTGGTACAATTTAAGATAGTATTTAATAATAGGATAAAAAAATACATTTATCTTTGCAGAAGGAATTAAAATATGAAATTTGGTTAACTAGTTATAGAATATTACATCTATTATCCATTTTTGCATTAAATTAAGTTTAATTTTTGCAATTAGTGCAAGCATCAAGATAAATGTAAACCTCGACCACATTGCTACAAACTTTGTGTCATTGTTATTCATTTAAACTGGTGATGTATACATCTTATTAAAACTAAATTGAAAGTGATCCATATATGAAGAAATTGGTGAAAGAAAGGCATCTCAAACTCTATATACTCCCTCTCTGTTGTGTTAAGAGGATTAAGATGTGTATTTCTAACAAATCAGTAGATTTCAAGAAATAAATTATTAACTGCTATAGGGAGAAGATTGTAAGCATCCAGTTCATGAAAAAGTATATTCATCTTGCTAAAGGAATGAAACCTACTCTGACAAAGGAAGCCTGTGATTGTATTGCAGAAGAATATTCACGTCTTCGCTCTATGGATGTGGAACATACAGACTTAGCCCGAGTAAGCAGTTAAACTGTACCACAAATGTTTAAGTACAGAATAATTTTACGACTTATATCAACATTATAAAAGTCTGCCCGAATATTGTAATTTCTCTCTACTTGTTCTTATACTTTGATAATCTCGTCTTTTTTTTTTTTTCTTTTGCAATGTCAGAAAACACGTAGGTTCAAGAAGTCTTAACATAAAACAATAAGAACCATATAATTAGAGAGCTTTCAAAAGTACTTGGGTTATAGGGTTGTTATTGTTTTTTTTTTTCTTTTGCAATATTTTTGTTGGTATTCTTTCGCTATAGGACAACTATATTGTATGGAATTCTGTTTCGTCACTGACTTCTTTAAGTTTAAAATTTGTATGTTTGAGTACCGAATATGTTTAATGTTTAATATTACTTTTTTTCAAATTCAGTGATAAACTTCATTAATCAATAATCAGTTACATTGACTAGTGTAAAGTGAAAGTATTAATTAATCAAAATTTCAATTAAATCAATTAATATCATGAAAATATTAAACTAATGTTTCTGATCATTACTGTTTTTAATTATTCCAGCTACCCAAGTAGTTGAAATATTGCCATTATGATTTCTCATTATTTTTTATTAATTCAAGTTTGTTCAGTTTTATCAATTAGTGTTACATCTCCCAAAAATAATCAGTAATTGAAATTAGTGTTTTCAGTTATTACAATTTTTTATTTTTTCCACCTATCGAAGTCTCAATTTAATTAATCAATTAGTTCATTGTAATTAGTTAATGAGTCTGATTTATTTAATAGCAAATTTCACTAATTGTCCAGCTCTAGTTTCAAAGCTTAAATTTGATGAAAATTACATTATATTGATATTTTTTATATTTCTGTTGATTGTACTTTTTGAAATAATTTGAATGACAAATATTTAATGTATATGAACTATTCAAAATATAAAAGATCTTTCTGGTTGCAAGTTGTATTAATGTATAGGTACAGGTTGTGTATCTTAAAGGAACAGTTTGAACAAGTGTAATGTTGAAATAAAGATTTCTAGCAATGAGGTTTTATTAAGAACTAGACCACCATGACCCATTGGGTCAACCACTATTCAGAGGTAATGAAGAATTCAAGCTAATTTCAATATTGCACCGAAATGAAGGTTTATTTTGATATAATTTAATTGAATATTTCAATCCATTCATGATATTCATAATTCAAGAAAAGATATTTGATTGTTGATCGGGAGTAAAAGGAAAGACCATTTCATCTTTCAAAAAAGTGAAGTAAGAAGTTTCGTAAAGAGCGCAAACGGTAGTGTGAATGATTTTTTGACTGAGAAAATAAGCAAACA